GTGTGTGCAGAGGTGTGGTCAACAATGGCGACAGGATTCCCGTTGCCGTCCGGTTCAGTCCGTCCGTCGTCCAGGGGGCCTCACTGCTTGCCGTGGTAAGCTACTGAGGGGAAAGTTGATCGTTCAATTGTCTGTCTGTCTATGCATCTATATGCATGTGTCTGATGGAATGTGGGTGCGTGTGTGCAGTGGTGGGAAGCTTTAGGGTCTCAACAGGGTGGCGCGGAGGGAACGTCCTCCGCGGCTGAGCATGTGGTAGTCTACCCGCTGTACCTGTAGGTAGGGAGGTAGTGTGAGTGCCACTGTGGCTAGTGCATCAGAGACATGCGCCAACTGCACGCACACAGACATACATACGTACATGGATCGATCAACAAACACATATGTACATGTGTGTACACGAATACATGTACGTAATTCGAAGCTGCAGCGGCAGCCAGTCAACCGGAGAAAACACTCGACGGTCGCCCTCGTTGCTTGTGTGCCTCACTTGTGAGTCGTTCACTCGTTCGCCGACCGATTGATTGCCTCTCGAGCGATCTGCGGCTGTCTGTTTGTCTGTGTGAGTCGCCATGAGTGAAGACGGCTCGGCGGGTGTGCACGCTTCCATCCACAAGCAGCGGAAGGACATGCAGGCACGGACACCGCACACACAGACAGACAGACAGACAGACACCAAACCATTAGTCAATGTGTCCCTCTGTTCCTTTGCTGCGCGTGTGGGCGACATATATGCAGATATTCCACAGTGTGAAGGAAGACCTGATGGCGTTGATGCGCGAGCACACTGCCAAGAAAAGTATACACTCACACGCCGACCCATACACTGCACTGCAGTGCATCAACACACTTGTGTCTCTGCCGTGCAGGTCGGATTGACCAGAGTGCTGTGTGTCTGATCGACAATGTGGCAGCGATCGACAAACTCGCGCAGGAGCTCGACAAACTCCAAGTCACCACCACACGCACCTATACACATCTACGCACACGACATCCACTCGTTCATCCATTTCCCTGTGTGGTGCGTTGCATACATTCGGTCGTGTGTGCATAGGAGTCGTTCACGGGTCACGAGCAGCGTGCAGTGGACCTGCACAGCAAGTGGCAAGACATCACGTGCAAGGTCGACATCGCATCGACGCAACACACCCTCTGCAGACAGGAGACACAAACCACTGAGCAGTGCATCCAACAAGGCACGCATACTCACACCAACAACCACCCAACACACATGTCGACGCATCCATCCAATGCATGTGTGTGTGTGTGTGTGATGTGTCAGCTCATGAGACGCTGTCTTCTGCCCGTGACCGTTACCGTGGGTTCATCGATGGCTGCAAGCACGAGGCCGATGCAATCATGACCATCATCAACGACAAAGTACCAACACCCCACACAACATCCATCCACGCACGCATCCATTTCATCTCGTCTGGTCAGCTCCCGTCTGCCTCCCATCGCGCTGCGTGTCTGATCGACGCCAACAAAGCCGTCGCCGCACAGCTCGACCAGTGTACGTGTGTGTACACAAGACAACACAAAGAGAGAGAGAAAGGGCGATGGATGGATCCATTTTTTGTGCATCTCTCTCAGGCGAGAGAGAGCTTCTGTCGAACAAGGCCGACAATCGCACAGCGCACAGTCATCTGTCCGTGTCTCTCGCCGACAAGTCGGCTGCCGAGCGTGACCGAGACAGCAAAACCGCAGAGCTGCAGTCACTCCATGAAGCGATGGACAAGGCCGAGGTAACACTCCAACACCACACCACAATGCATCCTCCTCACATGCGCTCACTCTGTTTTTGTGTGTGCAGGTTGCGTTGCGTACGATCGAGTCCAACTTCTCTCTGTCCTGTCGGGAGGGAGACACGCTCGAGAGCAGTCTCGCAGCGGCCAGGCAGGAGCTCAACGCACTCGAGACCGATGCAGAGATGGCAAACAAACCAACCTCACACCGACCACACATCACGTTTGTATCTGTGTGCCATGTGTGTGTGTGTGTGTGTGTGTGGCTGTGTTCAGCAAGGGCTGACCATGCAGCTTGACTTCCTCAGAGAGCAAGACCAGGGCCTCCAACAGGTAAACACGACCCACACAATTCACATACCGTCATTCATGTGAGGTCATGTGCGCATGTCAGGAGCTGGCTGTGCGTGCTGAGTGCGTCTCGCGTGAGGAGGCCAGACATGCAGAAACCGCTCACCGACTCGACGCGCTGCTGGCAGAAGAGCGGTCGATGAAGTAAGCAAAGACCCATGCACACGCACACGGATGGATGGATGTATGGATGGTGTGTCGTGCTGTCAGGGTGTCTGACGTGGAGAGGGAGACAGCGAGTTGGAGCGAGGCCACGGCCAGTGCGCAGCAGAGGGCAGCAGTGGTGACGCATGAGACAAGTGACAGTGACATCGCAGCCGAGCTGCTCAGAGTGCACGACGTCATCGCAGCGGTGGACAAGACATCAAAGGCCTTCGAGCAGCAGATGACCGACAAACGCACACACCAACACAACATACAAACAAACATCGACCGTTAGCGCGATACACAGACACAGACACAGACACAGACACAGACGTCCATGTGTCTCATGTGTGTTGTGTGGATGTAGAGTTGGCTGGTGAGGAGAGCCGACACGCCGATGAGCTGAGCGATGTCGACAGCAAGACAAGCGCCATCCAGCAGCAAATCGCAGTAAGAAACATGCAAACACAACAGCACCTTTGTGGACTTGTGCGAATGTGTGCACAGGCTGGCATGAAGTTGCTCGAGGAGTTGGTATCAGTGAGTGGCCGACTGGACGAGGCAACCGATCAGCGAAAGGCACAGACACACCAAATCGACAACACACAGGTGCACTGCATACTGAACGACGACGCACACGAGGCAAAGCGGATGTTGTGTGTCTCCGTGTGTCCAGAGAGAGTTGGCACAGGTGCAGGCACGCATCGCAGAAATGGAGGGTCACCGACACACACAGAAAGAGGGAAACTTCACAGTCTCTCACTCGGTGTGCGTATGTGGTGCTGATGCCTCAGCTGAGATCCATTCGTTGGACGAGGCCATGATGACCGAGCAGAAGAATGAGAATGCGGCCCGCGACGAGTGCACCGCGCTGCAGCGCCAGACGGATGGTACATTCCCCAACTGGTGAACACAGACCAATCTTGAAAGGAAACACATCTATGTCATGTATGTCATGTGTATGGTGTGTGTCGTGTGTGCCGGGCAGGGAGAGTGAGCTTGTGGCGAGGCTGTCTGCACTCGATGCTCGTCTCAAGCACGCGGAGCGACGTCACCAAAGCCAATCTCACGTCTCGATGCGCATGGTGACCCTCGAGATCACGTCACGAGAGCTGCCCTGTCCATGTCCCTCTCGTGATGTGCTGTGTGCAGGCCGACGAAAGGACCCTGAGTGTGTACGCGCAGAGCGAGGCCAACAAACACGAACCCATCAAACGACAAATGGAGACGCAACTCGAGAGACAGATGCAACAAGCCGCATACACGTCAGCGACCACACACACACAGACACACACACAGTTGTAGCATGAGTGCCTTTGGATCTTTGTGTGTGTGTATGGCCTTCCTTAGTGCGGTTGGTGGTTCGTTTGATGACAGCGACAAGGAGGCGACGGCCAGACAGCGCGAGGCCAACAAGAAGCACTTGGCAGATGTAAGTGTGTACGTCAGTCAGCCAGTCAGCAAGGCACACGCAAACACCCCCCCACATCCACACAAGTGTCATCTGTGTGCAGCGTTGGTGTGGAGTGTTCGCGAAAGCGCGACAGGAGATAACTGCCAACAGAGACAAGACACTCGCCCCACATGAGGCCGAGGCACGCAGACAGCACATGCACACTGATGGGATGCATGGAATGGATGGTGCAGCGTGTCTCACTCATCAATCAGGTTTCATCTCTTGCGCTGGCTGTACGTCGATTGGAGGGCCGGCGACACCACGACCAGCAGCAACAGCAGCAGCAGCAGCAGCGACAGCGAGAGCAGTAGCGAACAAAGGCCTCACCCGCACAAGACACCAATGACGACATGGTAAGTCCCCCAACACACACACACGCACATACACACCCCTCTGTCAACAATGCGCACAGTGCAACAACGACGGACGCCCCCCGCCCTTGTGTGAGCCCAAAGGCATCTCCACGCAGGTGTGATGCATTCGCTTGCCGCTCACTTTCCCCTTTCTGTATTCCCACTCTGCTGTGCTGTGTGTTCTCCCACGCAGAGCAAGTACCAGCGTGGCCGCGTCATCGACAGAAAGAGAAAATGAAGACGACACACAACACAGACAGACAGACAGACAGGCAGAGGGAGACACGCAGACTGATGGACACATACATGATCCATGGATGGAGAGCGAATGTGTGTGAGTGTTGACGGTGGCTGCATGCATCGCATGGTCGGATAAGGACGGATGAGTGGATGGATGGCTCATAAATGAGTGGAGTCGCGGCCATACTGACTTGCCAATTTGGTTGTTCGTCTCGTTCCATCCATGCTCACACATTGCACACTCGTCTATTCGTCCACCCATCCATCCACCCATCCATCCATCCACCCATATGCATATGAAAGCCCTTCCGCGTCTTCAACTGCGCCTCGGCGATCGGGATGAAAAAGACGGCACCGATGGGAGCGTGCAATTCGTAGACGCGCAGTAGCGGCGAGTCCCAATATATATCGGGCGCCACGCCTCTTACCGTCACACATGTATAGTTGTCTCTCGGCTAGACAGACGCACCTGCAATGCCCTGCATGTGTCTTGTTGAAATGTACGCCCGCATCCTAGCTCTATCATCGATGAGAGACACCCTCATGCATCAATTCATGCGATTGACTTTTTGTTTGGTTGGTTGGTCTCCTTCATTCATTCGTTCCACACTGGCTCATGGACATCCACTCACGTACGACAGCCATCCATCCATGAAAGATTCACCCACCACTTCCACCGACTCTCTTCCGTGCTTTCCTCTTTCCTTCTGTCTCTGTTTGTGTTTCTTCATTCGTGCGTGTGTTGGTTGTCGTGCATCTGGTCGAGCAGTGCGGTGCATGTGCTGATGAGTGCAGCGGTGAGGTGTGTGGGGGGCCTGTGCGCGTCGCCGCCACTCGCCTCTCGCTCGATCGCAGACTTGAGCAGACGCAGACACTCCTGCACACAACACGAACACACACAAACACATACATAGACGTGATTGCAATCATCCACAACTAAGACACGACACATGGATGGATGGATGGATGCGCACCTGCACAGTGGGTTGGTAGTTGGGGATCGGCGTCACGATGGACGAGCGGCTGGATGAGCACAGCCCGCTCGACGATGCCTTGGACTTGTCGCTCTCGTCACTCTTTCGGCCCTTGACAGCCCCACACTGATCGATCACGCACATACATCACACACGCATGTGTCCATCGACGGTGATGGTGGTTTGGTGTGGTATGGATGTGTTTAATTAAGTCACCGTTGGTTGATTGGCGTCGGTCTTGCAGAGTTGCTGTGCCCCATCGTCTACGGCCGTCTTGGCAGAGTCGGCCTGCACACAGACACACAATCGATACGCATCATGTGCACTCGATATCCGTCCATTGTGTGTGGGTTGGTTTTACTTGGACGTGGTTTGGTTGGGTGTGGTGCACTTGAGCCGTGTCGGGGATCATCACGTCCTCAAAACCTGAACACACACACAGACAGACAGATCTTGTCTCGTCTGGTGTGGTTTTGTGCTGGTTGCCTGGCGGCGGTGAAAGGACGTCAGCGGCAGAGCTCTCAAACGCATCTTCTAAGCAAGAGACAGACACGAAGAGACAGACATAGATAGATAGATAGAGAGAGAGAGAGATGTGGCACGAGTGTGGGTCAGAAGGTGACCTGGCACTTGGTTGTGTTCGTCGAGGAGTGAGACGGCCGATTGGTACTCGAAGGCCTCGTTGTCCTTTTCATTGTCGTCTGTGGCACCTGTGCGCCAGTCGTGCTGCGGCGCCTGTGCGTGGCTGTGGCTGTGGGGCTGTTGGTGTCGCATCTCGCCGGGGAGCAGCTTGAGCTCGTTCTGTGGCGTTGCTCGCTTCACCTAAAGACAGAGACACAGACAAACAGAGACACACAGATACACAGTCTGACGCTGGTCATGCACGCATCAGCTCCATGTGCATGGCTGGCTGACCTCCACCCACTGGCCATCAATCTAAAGAGACACACACACACCGAGATGAATGGAAGGGAGAACATGAATGGATGGCGTGTGGCTGCTGTTTGCTTGTCTTGTTTGTGTGTGTTGTGGTGTGTCGAATGTGTGTGGGTTGCCTTGTGTGTGTGGTATTGGGTCATGATCTTGTCGACGGCGGCCCAGTCCTTGAGCGTGACGAAGCCAAAACCCTTCGATCGGCCGTCCTCACCTTGACCCACACACAGAGAGAGACATGGATGGATGGGTGGATGGATGGATGGATGGGTGGAGACACGTGATGATTGTGTACCGCGGATGATGGTGACTTGCTCGACGGTGGAGCCGAAGTTGGCGAAGTAGCGCTCGAGTTGCTGGACCGACGCAGACAACGGCAGATGACCCACAAACACCTCTATGTATCGTGCCACACACACACACACCCAGCCAGACCACGAGACAAAGGTGCGTGTATTGCTGTGCGTTGTGGTTGTGTCTGTGAGTTGGGTGGCTGACTCTCAGTGGGGAAGATGGGGCAGACGTGTGGGAGTGAGGCCGGCGGGTGGGCGGCGAGAGTGTGTGTGTGGCTGTCGTGTGGGTGCGGCCGTGTGCAGCTCCGACGGGATGGCTGGCTCGACGTCCACCTCGCGACCACACAACACCTAACACACACACACACAGTGCAATGGATCGATGTGTGGGTGTGTCAGTGTGGGTGTGTTTGCTTGCCTGCGGTGATCTGAGAGCGACTTGTGCGCCTTCCTTGCTGAGGACCACGAAGCCAAAGCCACGCGGCTTGCCACGCAAGTCACGCTTCACAACTGACCATTTGACACACACATTACACACACATGCGAGAGGCATTCATTTTGTGTACACGTGTGTGCTGGCCCGCCCATGCACTCACCAGCTCTGTAGCACTTGGCGAAGTGTGTGAAGTGGTGGTGAATGTCGTCTTCGGTGGTGGTGTGGCTCAGCCCGCCCAGGAAGAGCTTGACGCGATCCACACGCACCCCTCCACGCATCATCGCACCAACACCAGCAGCAAGTCACAAACAAACAAACAAACTGACAGACAGACAGAAACGCCGGTGCAGGAGCGAAGCAGTCAGTCAGTCAGTCAATGGATGAGACAGTTAACTGGTGAGTCTGTCAGTCGAGAGAGCCGATTATTTGGCTGGTTGATTGTCTGTCTGTATATGTATCGGTTGGTGCATGTATTTGTATTTGTATACACATACACATACACATACACATACACAGTGGTGTCTCTGTCCATCTCTTTCGCCGATCATGAAACGCACGACAACCGTTCATTGTCCTAGCTAGCCGCCAACGCTGCGTCTATGCGCGTATATCAGGTGTGGATGAACCCCTCGACGGCCTCGATGAGAGTCTCGAAGCACTTCTTGTTGTCACAGTCGACGAGATCGAAGTGATCCGCACTCTCAATGCTATACAGACGCACACTCGACTCATCTGCATGACCACACACACCACACACAGCACAGCACAGCACACGTACAGAGGCTATCGAACGAACGTGTACACGTGCGCCCGTCCAACATACACAGGTCCCCCATCCTCCTATGCACCCACCATTACGCGCCGCTATCTTGGCCTTCTCGTAGTAGCTCTCTCCATGCGCCAAGGGCACGTCCCGTGTCGCGACGGCCCAGTATGAGAGCCTGCGGCACACGATTCGGGAGCTGGTGGGCGGGGGATGCCCTCATGTAGGCCTCACGCGCAGCCACCGAGTCAGTGGGGCGCATCTGCACAGCGATAGCATGACAACAGACAACCAGAGACTTCGTCAAGTACCTTCATGTATCGCTCCACCGCGTCGCCCTCGTCGCTCAGTTTCTGCTCATAACTGAATCACTAACAGTGATTGTCTTCATCTGTTCAATCCCTCCCTCCCTGCCGTCCGCCCACTCACCCTTCGATGAGGTCAGCCACGGGCGCAATCGCCACCACTCCATGCGGCACCACCGCGCGCCATCCTTCCAGCCGCTGTCGCTCGTCCTCACTCAGCCTCAAAGCCCCATCGGTGTCGACAGCACCGGTGGCGTGCATTCGGTGACTCTCCTCCGCTGCCCACATCGCAAGGCAGCCACCCGCTGAGTGGCCCATGATGACCAGACGGGAGAGGTCCAAGGGAAGGGCAGCCGATGAGGGGTCAGCAAGGTCGCTGAGGTACCTGCATGTACACACAACGCACACAAGGCAGGGGTGCAGCAAAGCAGCGACAATGGTTGGTTCCTTGGAAGCAAGGTGAGATCACCTGAGGGCGAGCACCACGTCGACGTTGGTGCCGGGCCTGCATCATGTGATGGACACAAACACACCAGTGCACATGGCTTGGCAAGTACCCCCCGCTGCACCGGTGTCTGATGTGGCTGCCACCCACCATCCTCCTCCCGGGTGGTCTCGCCGTCTGTACTCAACCTCCACCGCTGCGTAGCCTCTCCTCGCCAGCGCAGGCGCGATGTTCTTGATGCAGTACGAATCCAAATCATACTGATTCTTCCTGCAGCACTGCACACATGCCGACAGTCAGCAGTCTGGGGGAGGAGAGGTTTCCTGCACTTGGTGATTGCCTACCAGTAGCCGCCGTGGATGACCGCGCACACGGGATGAGGAGATCTCGTCGAGTTTGATTCATGGATCTCGCTGCTTGTGGGCAGATGGAGGCGCACGAACTGCTCTGCTGCACTGCCATAGAAAAAAACACGCATTTCAGCAAGGCGATCTCTGCGAGCTGAAAAGGGAAGATCTGGCATCTGATCTGCTTTCGACGATGAAGGACATTCACTACGGCCTCGTCATTGTATATAGGCGCAGAGGCAGTCGAGGGCCGTGTGAATGCGAAGATGTGCTTCACGTTGTGTGTGTGTGGTGCAGGTTGTGTGGTTTGGCTGTTTCACCGACATGATGTACCAGGTAGCATCAATGCGACGAACGGTTGACTCCTTCGACGTCCTGGGGGTCGTGTCATCTATCGGCACTTATGTATTCTGTGTGCAGACGGTGATTGTTACGGTCAGCCCCCGGACGCTCAGCCTTCCACCCGTTCTGCACAGCCTCATCTTCATCGCACGACCAATCATTGCCATCGGTTTCGCGCCCATCGGTACGAATCAGCAAAGGGATCATGTGTATTCGTGCATTCATCCAGGATTTCCCTGGCTGTTTGGGATTGGTTCAGGTGGAATAATCATCGACAGGTACGCCGGCCGTGTCAATGCTGCAATCGATGTCGCTGTCTGTTGGTCAGGGTGGGGTGGAAGAAGATGCTGGTCGTGCCGTTCGCCCTGCTGGCGATGGGTGGCCTGTGTTACCTTATCAAGGTGAGTGCATGCCTGCCTGCCTACCTGCCTCGTCCCGAGTACACTGCTGACCGCTGTGCCGCGTGCATCTGTGCTTTAGGATTCCCTCGCGTCTTACATCGTCGCCAGAGTGCTGCAGGTGACACACTGAATGCCACGTAAACGTGCACTGCATTATCGTCTCTGCTTGCCGTCTGTATGTGTCAGGGTTTTGCGTCATCCATTTTGTATCCGGCGGGCTTTGGGGCGCTGGCCCGCACTCACGTGAGGCACTTTGTGTCGTGCCTTGGCCAGCGTGAAGCATGTTGTATCTTGCTTGTGTCTCTCCATTCACCTTAGGACAAGTCCAACAGGGCCACCGCAGTGGGCATTGCGCTCACGGGTGACGTCGGCGCTATTGTCGGCCCGGCAGCTGGAGGTTTCCTCTACGACGCTGCTGGCAGCAAGTGCGTGTGGGGCGTCATGCTCGTCCTTGCCTGTGGTTCCTTGGCCGCCGTGGTCTTCATCGCGGCGACCGGGCGCTTTCCCACCGAAGTGGGCAGCAACGCGCAGCAGCTGGCACACGAGTGAGTGAGACGACGGCCATTTGTGCACAAGACAACGAGATCGTATCACCTGTGTGTTGCGCAGCCTGCCCGATCTGGTGGTGCCGCTGACAGAGGAGGACAAGCCGAAGCGGCAGGGTTACGCCGTCTTCGCCAATGTCCATTTCATCACGGCAATGCTGTGTGTCACTCTGCCGTGGGCCGCGGCGTCAGCTCTGCAGGTATGCGTCTCCGCACTTACGTGTACGAGCCAGGATGTACCATGTGGTGGCATGTGTGTGCCGTTGTCTACAGGCCCTGTTGCCGCTATATTGGCGGGACGCCTACGGCCTCTCTGCCAGTGCCACCGGCGCGCTGTTCATGCCGCAATTCATCGCTAAGATCACTTGCGGGCCGACCACCGGGTTCCTCATAGACAGGTACGTACGTCCACACACAAGTGGACCACGCTCCTGTCTGTCTGCAGAGAGGTCCCATGTGTGCAGGTTTCTGCTGCGTCCGATGATGTTTTGTTTGGTTGCGTCGGCGTGGTGCGCGCTGTGCACGATTGTGATGGGGTTCTCCCTGGCCTCGTCGTCTCTGTCGACATTCCAGGTGACGGTGCTGACCCTCTTCGGTGTGGGGCTGGGGTCCGCCGAGACCAGCGCATTCGCATTCGCATGTACGCCACTGACTCATTGACTGACACGCCCACAGACGCGCACAGAGGGGACAAAGGAGGTGCTTGTGGTCCTGCATATCTGTGTGTGGTTGTGTGTGTCTGTAGCTTCATGGCTGCACGACGAGGGCATTGAGGACCACGGGAAGGCCTTCGCACTGGAGGAGCAGACCTTCAACGGCGGGCTGATGCTGGGCCCCTTGGTGGCCTCCCCCCTTGTTGAGCTGCTGCACAACGACTACGCCCTCTCATTTGAGCTCATGGGCGTCCTGCTCATCCCCATTACCTTCATGTGCCTCTACTCAATCCGCACTTACAAGCCGCCAAAGCAGCCGGCACCACACGAGCACCTCCCCCAATCGGTGCAGCTGGACCACCAGCAGCAACAGCAGCCCCAGGAGCCCTCCAAGCCCATCCAGCGCACTCTGTCGCACCCCATCGACATGGAAGCAAGGGGAGATGACAGCACCGAGAGCCCCGCGCTGCGGCTGACTCGACGCATGACGATGCCCATTCGGCTGACGGCTCCTCCATCTGTGGAGGTGCATCGGGCGGCGCGGCTGGCTGCCATCGCCAGCTGCTCGCCGGCGGCACGGCTGCAGGTGCAGATGATGGAAGACGAATCGCATCTTGTGGACCAACACGGAGTGAGTCAGTGAGTGAGCAGCGTCACACACACGGCTGCATTGGATGTGCATACACGTAGATGGATGGATCTTGGCCATGGTTCCCGTGTGTGTGTGCAGGTGACGTACGCGTCAGGTGGCTGACAGAGCCGCCCTGCCCTGCCCTGCCCTTGTCTTATTGGGTCGATGGTGTGTTTTTCTCCTCGATCCATGTGGATGGAGAGCATCCATGCCATGCATACGTGTGTTTGGTGCGCTTCATCGGCCCTTTTTGCAGCTGGCCGGTGGTGCATGTGTCGCGAGTGAACGTATGCACGTTAGCTCTGATCTCTTCATGTGCGCCTCTGTCTGTGACCTGCGAAGAGCTGGCCCCATGTGTGCCCGTGTTGGTTCCCTTCCTTTGTTGGTGGTATGAATGCAGTCTACAGGCACCGTATCACAGGTCAATGGACGTGAGCATGTCTCTGAGCGAGTGTACATGGGACCGGACCACTCACCACACATTGAATAAACCACAGCACCAAACCGCAGCACCACAATGCAGAAGGATGCACACATGCATTTTCATGGAGAAGGATGCACACGTGTCCACGAAGAAAATGCCACCCACCACACGTACAGACAGCCAAAGTGACGGCAAAACCTGCCCTGCCCCGTACGCATCCCGCCATCATTCATCCGGTCGGCCCCCCCGCAGCCGCGTTGGCCATCTCCTGCAGCCGTACGTAGCAGAGGAGCACCGCCTCCAGCTGCTGACCCACCAGCGGCACAGCGGCGGACTTCTGGAGCATCAACTTGAACTAAATCGAATCGACACAGGCAAAACGGAGGACTTCGTACATACGTCGTTGCACCCGTTTCTTCTGCCTGGCTGGCTGTCTCTAGTAGGTAGGTATGTCTTACGTCGTCTCGAGGAATGCCCTTGAGCCGTTCCACCGTCCAGTCACCCGACAGGGGCTGCAGGTCACCGCCACTGAGCAGCATACACGTAAATGGATCCACGCGTCAATCACCTGTGCACCTTTCCCGTCTTACATGAGAATGTCATTCAACTCGACGACCCGTTCATCTCCAGCAGATGCAGCAGAAAGCGACTTGGCATGCGGCTGAGGAGCCTGAATACAATACCCGGCAACTCGGCTGCATGCGTAATTCATGGATATATCTCACGTGCTTGCGTCTCTTCTTCTTGGGCTGAGCCTCCTCACCCCCCGCAGCCGCGGCAGTAGCCGACGCAGCAGCGGCCCCCATGGTGTCATCGGCCTCCTCCCCTGCGGAGTCCACGTCTTCGCCCTCCTCCGCAATGCCCTCATGATCCCCCTCACTGGCACCAGCGCCAGCCGCTGCTGCTGCCGCCGATGCGGCGCCGCGCTGGCGCTTGCCACGTCTGCCGCTGCCGGGGTCAGCCTTGGCTGATGCTGCTGCCGTGTCCTTGGGAGGGCCCTCTTCCAGGCTGTGCGCCAGGTCGATGCCCTTGCTGAATGAACCAACCAACACATCAACGGATGCATGGATGGATACACATACAGGGGCAGTGGTGGGGGAGGCCATGTGTTGTGCCACCCTACCTGCGCAGGTCGAGTCTCAGATTGTTGAGCTGCATTGCCACATCGTCGTCACTCACATGGGCGATCTTTTCGCTGACCAACACAGCACAGCACAGGAACGAGAAACGCCTCGCTGATTCACGTCTTGTCGCTCCCTATCTCTCTCCTTCCCGCCGTGCGCATACCGTATCGACTTGCCTGCACACACGCACATACGCATCGATGAGTGTGTTTGTAAGTGTGTTTGCATGTGTGCAGAACTATCATCTGTCCCCACCGCTGAGATGCTCGGTCTCAGCATCGGTGTATACCACCAAATAGGCTTCGACTTCGCGATTACTCTTGTCCAGCACCGACTCCTTGTGAACCACTGCACACCAAACCAGGCCACATCACATCACACCACCCTCGCGAGGAGCCCCAAGCTTACCAATTCCAAAATATTTCGAGCGGCCAAAATACTTTGCAAGAAACTGAAAGTCGCAGGAAGGCACGGGGGAGAGTGATGCCGTCCGTGGTGGTATCTGCCAGATCACTCACCTGTCCGACCAGCTCGTCGTCTGCCAGGTAGTCAGCTTTGCGGGTTCTCATACCGGAAGCCACACCACGAGGCCACTAGTACAACGCGACACAGATCAGTTCCCATTTTGCGAGCTAATTAGCTCGCGATGGATACGGCGGACATGGACGAGCAGGGCCCTGCTGCAGCGGAGGCCGAACCTGCGGCCGCCCCCCAGGAAGATGGAATGGAGGAAGAGGAGACGCCAGGGGAGGAAACCGAGGAGGCCAAGGACCCTGAAGTCAAGCCGAGGCAAAGCACAGAAGAGGTCCCCCCTGCTGGGGATGACGACAAGCAGGGAGAGCCGCAAGAACCGCCGGAGGTCAAGGGGGAGGGGCAGCCAGCGGTCACGGAAGGGGAGCCCCCCGCAGAGGCAGAGGCATCTGCAGTGCAGGAAGGGGCTGAAGCGGTTGAGGGCGAAAGTGAGATGCCGCCTGCAGAGGAGGGGGTGGGGCCGCCGGAGGGCGAGGAGCCAGCCGGTGCGGAAGGCAATGTGGCCATCGATTTCATCATATTGCCTGAGGTTCGGACACCGAGCGAGCATGTGTGCACCGAAAGGCAAAGAACGGAAGTGCATCCCTTGCCTTGTCAACCAGGGTTACGGGCAGACCAAGTATTATCCCGTTGAGAGGACACTGATAGAGATCCGGGGGGAGCTGGAGGCAGAGCTCAGCCTGCCGGAGGGCACTCTATTCCTCATGAACATGTGCGTATGTGCGTATGCATGTATCTATGTATGCATGTAGCTATCTATCGGCCGTACAGCACGTAGACAGACACGTCATCCAGCTGTTATATATGTGTGTGTGTGTGTGTGTGTGTGCGACTGTCTGTTTTGCGTGTGTAGGAGCGGGGCTGTAGCGGCTGATGGTCTGCTGGATCTGTCTCGCTCACTGGGAGGGTATCAGCTCAAGGCGGGAGACCGGGTTGGCATCGAGGTGCGAGACGGACCAGGAAAAAGGGAACACTCCAGGCCATGGAAATCGTCTGACTCTATGTTCCTTGTGCTTTGCCAGCTTCGTCTGAATTTCTACGAGGAGCAGCCTCTGCCCGAGTATGTCATGCCGGACGTTCTCGAGCTGCAGTGCCAAGGTGGGTGGGTGGGTGGGTGCGACAGACAACGGACACCACTGATAAATGGGCGACAGAAGAAAGGGGGTATTTATGGGTGCGATGCTGCCTCTTCTTGCTTCAGACAGCCAGGGCGCGGTGAAGCTCGTGAGAGTGCACATCGAGAAGGCTTCAGAGGCCAAACCCTTCATCGGTCGGTGACTGAAGACCACTGGCACAGATGAGTGCAAAAAGAAGACTGCAGCGTGTGTTTGGTCTCAGGTGGGTACCGTCAGAAGCAGACTCGGGTGGAATACCATGACGCCTTCACCCAGACACCCATCGACAAGAAACCACAGGTGGATGCGGTGCTGCTGCGTGGAGACACGGGGCTGATAAATCCATGTCTCCTTCTACTGTCCCTTCCGCTCAGACCATCGTCAAGTATCATCGTGAGACCCAGACGTACGAGTATCGAAGCTGCTCCATCCAACCTAAGCGAGAGGCCGGTACACAAGTGGTACGATACACAAACGAGAATGGACGAGACGGGCCGCGGCATCTGTGTCATCCCCATTCTTTCTTTGTTCACCTCACTCATCAGAGGACGGTGAGTGTGTACGTGTCGACCGAACACGACAAGGTCCTCCATCCCAAGGCGTACTTCACCGCAGAAGAGCTGTTCGAACGCCAGTGCCAGAAAGTCAGCACCGTCACAATTCTGATCCATCATCCATTTAGCCTTGGCCATATCTCCCATTGTGTCCTATAGGTGCTGCTGCTGCAGCGGTTGGCTAGGGGTATGCTTGCTCGGAAGAGAGTCAGGGGCATGCGCAAGCAGCGAGACGACCTCATTCAATTCGAAAGCGAAGAGGCAGAAAGACTGTACGTACAATGCATCCATCGGGCGATATATTAGAGGGCGGGAGAGGGGAGGAATCGTGCTGGCTGGCTGGTTGGCTGGTTGCCCGTTTGCTGCAGGCAGCGTGAGGCCGATCTGCGTCACAAGCGGGAGATCGGGAAGCGGATGCACCCGCGGACATACGAAGACTTCGAAACGCTCTACTCAGAACTCGAAGGTAACACTCTACTCAGACAGAAAACAAGAATCCAGACAGACGTCTTCCTCAATGAATGTCTTCGGCATGTGTGCAGCGTGGCGCATTAATGAGACCAATCGCATCAAAAAATCAACCTTCGACCAGGTGTGTGGGTGTGGGCGGGCGTGACATGAATGTGAGTGACCATGGGTGTTGTGTCGGTCGTGCAGGCAACCAAGCAGGAGGCATTAAGAGAGCTGCTGGCAAAGGAGACAAAGCTCCTCCAGGTACACGGCAAGACAGAGTGTGCACTCACCGTGTGTGCGTGTCGTGTGCGTGCATTTGTGGATCTGTTCCGCCATCTTGTGTCAGACGATCGACCGGTTGAAGATCCAGGCCCACGATGCCAACCGGGATGCCAAAGTCAGGAGACTGCTGGAAGCGGTAAACACCCAGCCAACACACGAAAGGCGAATGTACCACCATCTTGTGTGGTGTGTGCAGATGGCGAACCCAAAGGTGTGGGCGCAGTCTGACGGGGAGGCCACCATCGTACACACCCCATTCTCCACACGTACGCAGGCGGCATCTTCTATCCATGTCTGTGTCAACGAGTGATGCCACTCGCAAATCCAGGTGCAAAGGAGTTGATGGATTTGTACAACGGTCTGCGTCTGCCCCTCCTGACTGTCGACGAGCGCCTCGATGTGCTCCTACACGTCAAGTGGACTGTCAAGGTCAGTCAATTGGTCATTCAGTCAGTCAGTCGGTCGGTCAGTCAATAACACCCCTGGACCATATAGTTGCACAGGGTGTCTGCATCCGTGTTTGGTGTCTCTGTCTCTCTCTGTCTCTCTGTCTGTCTGTCTGTCTGTCTGTTGTGTCTGTCTCTTGTGTGTTGGTGAGCAGGAGTTTGATTGCAATTTGACTCGCGAGATTGTTGACTTGATAGACAGGGAGGCCGACATGCTCAATCGGGGGAGAAGGGACAGCTCACTCAAAGGTCGCTTCGGTGCTCACCGAGATGGCAGATTGTCAAGACATCCATCCGTATTGCACTATTGGTCTTCTTTCAGGTTTGCGTCAGCGGCTGGCCAATCTCTTCCTGCAGTTTGCTCGCACGCCCGAGTTCAACCCTGAGGCCCAGCGATTTACGAAGGTGTCAAGATATGGCATGTATGTGCGATGCAGAAAGTGGTGTGCGTTGTGGGTGGGTGTCATTTTGCATACTTGCAGGTGCCAGGGATGAACACGACCACCAAAGTGTGACGCTTCTTTTCCTGTTGGGGTCGCTGTGTGTAGCTCTGTGGTCTCGTCTCATCCTCTAATGGCCCTACACGGGCACATTCTTCCTCGGACCTCTGCAGTGATACTCCTTGATCCACTGTATGTATCTCGGTTTAGGCAGGCCACTGTGTCTGTCCTCTTTTCTCTTCCCGCCAGCCCATCCAACGTCACAAGACCATAGAAGACCAGCAACACACCACGCCAAAATAACCCGGATCATGAACTTCATAAAGACAGACAAGGGCGATGCCGCACCACCCACACCATACGACAGCCATCACAACATACGTGCGAAGCCGCCCCTGCCGTGCACGTCTGTCTTTGGATCAATTGGCCTCCGTCAGAACCACAGAGAAAAAGGTCGGCTTCGGCGGCCCGCGCAGCTCGCCAGACACAGGACCTGCAAACAGACAGACAGATGCACACAGACACATTTTAGAAGAGGTAAACGAAACCTACCCTTCGGTGGCCCCTTCGGCTGCGCGTCCTCAGCGGCACTGTGGGTCTTGGCGAAGGACTGGCTGTTCCGCCACTCATCGAAGCCCGCCTCCGACTGCCACTCGGTGAACGAGATGTGCGTCACGTCGGGCTGGATGCACGCCGGATGGGGGCTGTTTGATGGCACGCCCATGTCGGGCGGCAGAGGCACCCGACGGAGAAGCATGAACTTGCGAAACGCTGGGAATGACGGGAGGTTGCGGTCACGAGTCTGCATGCAAAGCAGCAATGGGGACATGTACAAGTGCACTCACGCACAAGTGTCTTTCTGTACGCACTCTCCATCTCGTCTCGAAGGCGTCTTGGCTGCCCGCGGCCACAGCAAACCTGCACGCTAGAACAAGTCGCCATGGCATGAACCTGACACCGTCAGCCAGTTGGCACGCCCGTGTGGACCTGTTGGTGGCAATAAAGGCACCTTCCTTGAGCTGTTCAATCGTCATTCCCGCTCTCGGCTCGTAGAGCACAGCCTCATAGATCGACACAGATGGCCCGGCAGCATGAGTTGACGGAGGCAGCGACGAGTCAGCAGCGTGCCGCAGCTTGAAGTAATCGGACTTGGGAAAAGCCTCGAAGGCCTCACGGTCCCTCCACACTGACATCGACACGTACTCGGTGGCGTCGTTGACTTCATCGTACTGTCCCTTTAGCAGGAAGAACTGGATGAACCCCGCGAAATCCTTTATGCTGGCGATCGGCGCCCTCTCCTCGGCCTCGAGCCACCTCTGCTCAAAAGCTGCCTCGCAGCCCTTCATCACAGGAAAACTGCATCGCGTTCATCAAAGACACCACAGCAGCGGTGAAGCGTTTCTGTGCGCGTTGCGTGCGACCTGGTGCATGCGACGAATGAAGGAAGGAGGCTGCCGTCGACTGCCATGGCAGCCGCAGCCACAGGCTCAGCCGCATCCATCGACAGTGTGTGCCTCAGCCGCTGCCCTCTCTGAGAGGGAAATTGTCGCTTCCCGGGTGACAGGGGGCGCTGGAAGGCTCCTGCCACAACCACAACGTATGCCAGGGGCATAGATGCAGAAGAGATCCACCTCATCGCAGCCTCCCTTATGTCATCCGCTTCTTGCTTGCATCATGGTTATGCCGGTCGGGAAGTGGAAGGAAGGGCTCCGATCGTTTTCTGCGAGCTTGGAAAGCCCGAAAACTTCGCGGCGGCCAGCGAAGATCTGTGACTTTGGCGCGCTCACACGTCCATTGAGCATCGCGGAGGCTGGAGAAAACGGTCATCTGCAGGCGAATCTTGGTTTCTGCAGTACAATCTTTCTCCTCCCGCAAAGATGCTGCCCCATGTGGCCCTTGCGGCGCTGCTGCTGAGCACTGCCACGGGCGCTCGCCTCCGTTCGGCTGCCTTTCACCTGCCGCCCGTCACAGCCGATGCCTCTGCCCTCACACCTCCCGCCATTGTGCAGCCTCGAGTGCTGCCCATCGTTGCACCTGCCGATGCCGCCGACCTCATCACGGTGCGATTGTGAGGGTGCAGTGGGGACGTACCTGTTGTGGTCTGCTGTGTGTGTGCAGGCATTGGAGAAGGAGGATCTGGGTGATCCGAGGGATAGGGAGCTGTCGCTGCTGAGGTCTTCGGGCGTCATCGGAGGTACGGCAGGAGGACTGACAGGATGGCTCACTTTTGTTGGTCTGCACAAGTGGGAAATGGTCGGCTTGTGTGTCAGATGTGGTGCCTGATCTTGACAAGGAAACGTTCATCAAGATCTCGTACCCAAGAAATGTGGAAGTCGAGTTCGGAAACACTCTGACGCTGGATGGTATGCGTGGACTACACCGTCACTGGCACAAGCGGAAACAGGCATCCGTGTGTGTTCCATTCCAGAGACGAAGCAGCGCCCAAGTATCATCATCGGAGACATGCCGAGACCAGACGCCCGGTACGCAGGCAAGAAACGGAGAAGGGAGGACCACAGAGGGTCCCACAGATGAGATTATGGTTGCATTGAATCCATGCGTGGATTCTCATGTGTTGCAGCTACATCTTGGCCATGGTGGACTAGGGAGAGGGTTGGTTGCATGAGCTGGAGATGATGGCTAACTTGACGATTCTTGCAGGTGGATCCGGACGCGCCATCCCGTCAGGCCCCCACCGAGGGGCAGTTCCTGCATTGGCTCGTCGCCAGTGACTGTGAGTCGGCCACCCACGTCTATAGGCCTGCCTATCTTTGCTGTACTTGTCGTGTCCTGTCAATCCCCACAGCTATCGAATTGAAGGATCCAACGACGCTTGTGCCGTACTTTGGACCTGGAGCGCCGCCCAAGACTGGAATGCACCGGTATTGCTTTCTGCTGTACCGCCAGGAGGCGAGTGCCAAGACGCCAACGGCCCCGCTCGACAGACCCCGCTTCAAGGTACATGAACGAACGATGAGATGTATTACATAGGGTCTTACCGCCCAAATCGATCGGTGTGTGCACCCAGGTGGCATCATGGGCAGACAAGAACGATCTGAAGCTCATCGGCGCTAACTTCTTCTATGCACAAAATTCAGTGCAGTGAGCACGTGACGGCCGAGATTCGGATCGGTGGTTGAGACGTGGTTTTGTGCCGTCTTGTGCGTTTGCGAATGATTGATGGATGGATGGATTGATGGGTAGCGAAGGTCATTTCTCCAGCCTGCGTCCCAGTGCACCGTAGCATCGTATTCACGCGCTCTTCCAATTTTCGTACCAGAGTAGTGAGTGCATGGCATGCAACGTTTTCCTTGTGTCATCAGTGTCGTCATGCAAGTATCAAGCGCTCACGGTTTTGTGCCCTGTTGAGATGGGAATGAAGGGATTTGCGTCCTAATTGGGAAGTGGTGCTATGGTATCATGCACCGTGTGCCGTGTTTGTCGTACGTGACGTTGAGGCAGTGTGTGGGAAGACACTCGTGTGAGACGAGGACCACATATGCGAGAGCGTAGTTCGGTTGACTGGTGTCACAAAGAGACATCTGTCTGGGAGCATGCAAACAGTCTGACATGTGCATCCTGCACATCACTCCCCCACACATAGGCAGGCAGTGCTTGACGAATCAGTAGATTCCATCATGAGAGAGACAAGCAGGCAAGTCAAGATACGGACACGCATAAGAGAAGGAGGCCGCTGTGGGAAATTAGGCAGAGAAGATACCTCCGCCCGACCCCACAGTAGTTATCCATCCAGCATACCGCTACTGTCGCTTTTGTCTGAAGCGACCGGCATGCAGAGGGGGTATTCATTCACGCACCACATGACAAACACCGGTGACAGAGACCCCCTCACCACACCCACATGAATACACACATGTTTTTCCGTCGAGCGCACACAGACGTTCAGGTAGGGACGGGGCATGCGCAACTAGATGTGGCGCACAGAAAAAGCACATCAGGCTTACTGTACACGCGAGGCATTGTGCGCTCACAAGCAAGCATATGTACACACACGCGAATACAGACAGACAGACAGACATACGTATATGTGGTCATGGCAAGCACATGAGAGGGAAGGAGGGGGGCCACGCTTTGCATCTCTCGTGCAAAAATAGGTACCGCAGCTCACGCTAGATCCATCTAGCGCTGTTCGTGTCTTCTCTACGGCGACAACAGACAACACCCAAACACCAGACACCCAGACAGCCACGCAGATATGACACGAGAGCCAAGACACGACAACGTGCAATTGGAACCCAACAACTCTCCTACAACTCTCCTTCCCCCCCTCTCCCCTCCCTCTCTGTCCCCGTGTGTGTATAGCTGTGCGAGAGGTCCCCCTCTCGCTGTTCGGACCGCCTGTCTGATCTGACACGGCACTTGCATCTTGCGCACATCAAGCAGCACTCACCCTGCTCCTCTCTACGTAATGACAAAATTGCAGACGACGGACGCCACACGACACGCGAGGATACATACACACACACACATACATACATGCTTTGGAAAATGCAGCGCACGCCATGTTGAAGAGAGGCAGCTGCCCGGACAGTCAGTCAGTCAGTGTTAAAAACGCACCCGTGTGTATCCTCAAGCAGCAGCCCACGCACTCTGGAAACCGTCTGTCTGGTCTGCAAAGTGAGACAAACAGACAAGACAGACAGAGAGGTACATACGTGAAAAACACTTAGCATCATGCAACTGAGCGGCCAGACCCCCGATAAATTCGCAGCGAGACACATAGATATGATTGGCAGGGCAGCCAGGCACAGTGACGGCATGGCATACACGATGGACTGACACGTATGTATGTGTATGTGCGCATATTCAATGATGTGTGTGAGTGAGTGTACATAAGAAAAAGAAAGGCAAGGTCAAAGGAGAGAGGATGACATGACACGACACACCTCCCTGCGTGCATCACATACGCGCACACAGACTCGGTCAATTCGGGGGGGGGGGG